GGGGGGGGGGGGGGGGGGGGGGGCAAATAAGGTGCATTATGGGAAATGTGGAAGTGGCGTATGGCTGATTATGGCTCCTGATTAAAATTCATACTTGGCTACGAGGCTTAGGCGAATAAAACAAAAGGCTCAGCAGTGAATAATATAGTTCTTTTGCGTTACTCCCCTAAATCTCCTAGCCAAGTATGAATTTTAATGTATCGAAATTGGTCGACAGCTTCAACGCTATTAAAACTGACATTTTCATCGCTTGAGGTCACTAGAGGTTTTCACTGGTTAGCGCATGCGCCACGGGTGACATAGCCCCTTTAAATTAAGACGTTTTCCTGGTACAGCGGTAGTCATCTCCAATTTTGTCACGCCGGAGCGAGATAGGAGGAGACGTTGCATACCGTAATCTCTTGAATAAGACCTCCACCTTTTGAACAGTGAACATTTATAAAGCACCCTATCAAATAAGCACCTCCTTAATTATCGAATAACCAGTAAATTTAAACAAAATTATTTGAAAACAATTCTAGTTAACACTGATTATCGGCAGATTGGATAAACTCAAGGGTTCGGTGTTAGACAAGTACCTGATAAAATGAGATTACAAAACCATAGAATACATGTAGGTGCCCTAGAATTATACCGCTTATGAAAAAAGCGATTGAAGCGACCCGCCCCTAAGGTATGTGTAAAATAATGACACGCATATTCGGTCCTTCAACCGATAACAAGGTCATTTAAAGGTCTCAGTACAGACTGTATGCGGTAATTCTCACCAGCCATCTGTTTTGTTTCATCTGTTGTTGTATTATCCAAAGGCTCCTGAGCTGAAGACAGACCTGAATCTACAACACAAAACAACTTAAGCAACAGGAAAGAAGCCTCATTACTACGCTGCCTATACTAGCCTGGGAGCAATTACGAGCGAGCTGAATAGCGAGAGTTTTGCGCAGGCAAGGCAGTGAGGATTTCAGCAGCGCAGTAGTGCAGGTTTCGCGCGAGCGGCAAAGTCGAGAGATGAGCGAAATCCGGAGCCTGCTCCTAGGCCAATATCATGCTGACTTGAATGACATTATTCAGTTTTTAGCAGTTGTAAGCAAATTTCATTTTATATTTTACTGAATGGGAGCGCCTTGCATAGCTACTAGTGACCCGTTTGCGCTGTCTAGTGGGGAGGAGAAGACTGGGATCTACTCGACCGCGTGTTAATGGCGTCGCTTGAAGTAGAGCGAATCAAGTACCCAGGTCTCTACCATCACTACCACCCCAAACAAAAACAGTGGAATTAGCCAAGATCACGACCCAGGATGCACAGACAGTCATTATCAATGAGCGATTAAGTTAGCCAGCCTGGAAGCCCAGGGGCAGGACTCGGGTACGGTTTGGGTCGGGATACTGCCGCACAAGGCTCCAAATTTTGACCCCGGTTTCGGAAAAAAAAGTGTATTCTCCCTCGTTCTGCTCTGAGAAACATGACGAATATAGATACCCCGTTTCTAGATCAAAAGTGGGTCGACCTGCGCCGATTCCAAACAAGGTTCGGAAACGTTCTTTAGGTTTCGTCACGCGTTCCTATCTAGCGCCATGGACGTCTCCTTGGGAGAATGCAGACACCTTTATTAAGCGGACACCAGCGAAGGTCCTACGGGTGTCCGCCTAAAACAGCTTTCACTGTAGTTTTATTTCACTTTGATGTCTGGCACATTTAGACCTGGGTCAAACGTCGAACTTCACATGCGCTGAACCTAATGCTGAGCAAAACTCTTTTATTGTTCTCGCTTATTAGCAGTAGATTAGGCACATGTGAAGTTAAAAGTTTCACACGGGCCTTACAGTTTTTATTTAACATATCTGCTACTTGAAAAAATGTAAATGAATCTTTGGTCAATTTCGACTTAAGACGCAGAATGGGAGTTGAAAATATTCTGTATCGCTTTCCGGGACGCTTTGGCGACGGTGCGAAAAAGGAAGAAGAGCTCTCCTTTCTTTTTCGCTCCGCCGCCAGGGCGCCCTCTTACGATAATACAGATTACCAACGAGAAATAAACACAAAATTTGTTATCTTGCTTTAATTGTAACTTTATTAAATTTCTGCAATAATATTTTTTACAGTCCAGCTGCAGATAATTTTACTGTACATAATATAGAAATAAACGATACCATTAAAATAAAATAATTAAATTATACCTTGTTACGCAGCGTTACGGTAGTGGTGTCGTAACAAAGGGTTCACGATTTAACGTGACAGTAACGCACGTGCATTAACTATTCGGTTGCTTTTCAAGCTCTCCACAACTCATGATAATTCTGTAGTCCTAAACAATGGTACATCACAATAAAAAAAAGAAGAAGAATGAAAAAGAAAGAAAGAAAGAAAGCAAAAACGAAACGAAAAAAAACACCTCTTGGTGGCAAATTCTCCACTTTAAAGGCCCAGAGACAGGGAGGTACAATGAAGACCCTCCTGAAACCAAGCCTACCTATTCAATCCACAGCTGTAGCTGTAAGCCATCACTTCTCTGATTCCTTAGTCCTCAAGAATCTCGGGCGTATCACCAGCGGCTCTAATGAGAACAAAATAATATATGATTATGAAGGGTGAGGTCGAGGATTTTCATTTACAAGAGTTTTATGAGGAATTGCTTTGTGAATCAACAAGAAAGAACAAGTTTTACACCATGCCACCAACGTTCGTGTCTTGCCGCTTTATTTCTAAAACTTTCTGCAAGATGGAAATAGGCCATAATCGGGGTATACGCCACTTGCACATCTCGCATAATGCACCTTATTCGACCCCAAAATTTTGCATAACCTTTGTTTTTCATTTCTCCTGGGTATTACAGCCATCTCGAGAGAGATTAAAAAACACAATGCTTATGCAAAATTTGGGGGGGGGAAGGGGGAGGGGAAAATGAGGTACATAAAGGGGATGTGGGAGAGGCGGAGGGCGTTGATGGGGCACCGGGAATAAAAACTTAGTTGCGCACGAGGCATCAGGGAACACAACAAAAAACCTAACCGGCAGTAACATTGTATTTTTCNCTGATTAAAATTCATACTTGGCTACGAGGCTTAGGCGAATAAAACAAAAGGCTCAGCAGTGAATAATATAGTTCTTTTGCGTTACTCCCCTAAATCTCCTAGCCAAGTATGAATTTTAATGTATCGAAATTGGTCGACAGCTTCAACGCTATTAAAACTGACATTTTCATCGCTTGAGGTCACTAGAGGTTTTCACTGGTTAGCGCATGCGCCACGGGTGACATAGCCCCTTTAAATTAAGACGTTTTCCTGGTACAGCGGTAGTCATCTCCAATTTTGTCACGCCGGAGCGAGATAGGAGGAGACGTTGCATACCGTAATCTCTTGAATAAGACCTCCACCTTTTGAACAGTGAACATTTATAAAGCACCCTATCAAATAAGCACCTCCTTAATTATCGAATAACCAGTAAATTTAAACAAAATTATTTGAAAACAATTCTAGTTAACACTGATTATCGGCAGATTGGATAAACTCAAGGGTTCGGTGTTAGACAAGTACCTGATAAAATGAGATTACAAAACCATAGAATACATGTAGGTGCCCTAGAATTATACCGCTTATGAAAAAAGCGATTGAAGCGACCCGCCCCTAAGGTATGTGTAAAATAATGACACGCATATTCGGTCCTTCAACCGATAACAAGGTCATTTAAAGGTCTCAGTACAGACTGTATGCGGTAATTCTCACCAGCCATCTGTTTTGTTTCATCTGTTGTTGTATTATCCAAAGGCTCCTGAGCTGAAGACAGACCTGAATCTACAACACAAAACAACTTAAGCAACAGGAAAGAAGCCTCATTACTACGCTGCCTATACTAGCCTGGGAGCAATTACGAGCGAGCTGAATAGCGAGAGTTTTGCGCAGGCAAGGCAGTGAGGATTTCAGCAGCGCAGTAGTGCAGGTTTCGCGCGAGCGGCAAAGTCGAGAGATGAGCGAAATCCGGAGCCTGCTCCTAGGCCAATATCATGCTGACTTGAATGACATTATTCAGTTTTTAGCAGTTGTAAGCAAATTTCATTTTATATTTTACTGAATGGGAGCGCCTTGCATAGCTACTAGTGACCCGTTTGCGCTGTCGTTTCCAGGCAGTTACTTCTCTTTCCCCATAGCTGGTTTTTGAATCTATTATAGTAGGGCCTTTTAGTTCCCAATAAAACTGACAAGTAACATATAGCCCTCAAAATTAATGTCACTTGTCCCTCGAGGAAATCTGAAACGGATGCTTCGCCCAAATGCAATTCAACTCATGGCCTGCGGTGATTTAACAAACCTGAGATGCTTGCGGTCAGCGGCAAGAAACCGTCATCGTTCGTAAAATCCAGTTTGGATACCTTCGCGGTATTTTCTTCTTTCGTTGAAGTTTTTCGTTTACGAAGTGCAGATTTTCTCGTCCTGTGCATCAATTTACACTTTGATCCCTTTGAACACTTGCCAGTTCGAGCAAATTCTTCACATTCAAGAATATGTTTTTTGTTACACTAGGAAACAAAAAGAAACAAACCATTATCCAGAAGTAAGCCGTCCGACAGATCGGCTGGTCTAGTGTACGAGAACATCGAGAAGACCTGGTTTGCTTATAACCTTTTTCACGCCTCCAATACGGCGCTTATTTGAGGGCGGCGTTTATTTGAAAGTTGGACGCGAGTTGTTATTTTCCGTATCAAACTAACAGAATTAACGTCTTCTGATTCGATTATATTAGAGCCTTGGCGCTTACTAACTTTTTTTGTCCCATACGAGGCGGTCATTCAAGGGCGGCGCTTAATCGGGGGCGGCACTTATTCGGGTAAACATAGTAGGCCCTTTGCAGCTAGACTTTTAAGTGGTACAAAACCTCCTTGGCGTAGAGCAAGGGAAGCATTGAGACAAGAGAAACAAACAGCTCACATCATATAAAATGGTTATGTCCTTTGTTTGTCTTCAGTGCCCCAGTGCGTCTGTTGCTCTCCAGCATAGCGATTTTTGTACCACGTGACTGATTAGCTGCAAGGGGACTAACACAAACCAAACTAACACTCTGGGTCTGAAACCCTGCCACTTTGAAGCAAGGCATAAAAATCTGTGGATACACATAAAATACATGCTTAAATATAAGCACGTATTTCGTGATAGGTGTATGCCAGTAAGGTGTTGAGTACTATAGTTGTTACCGACTAAATTAGGCTTCACTTCACTTAGACTTCAATGGTCAATCGTGTCGTTTACCATTACAGTCTTCCCTTTACTTACACGACATATATTGATGTTTACCTGTTGACCAAGAGCGCAAAATCCTTTCAGAAAATCTTCACACACTTCAGCTTTCTTGCTGACATTCACATGAGAATAAGGGCAATTATCATTGGAACATGTTCCTCGAAGAAAGAACTGGCAAACAGGCATCTGAGGAAAAAAAAAAAACATTATTTTGTAAAGAGTTACTTCAGCCAATACGAACTTAACCGGGGCCACCCACCGCCACCCAGCATATTTCGACCAGGACTTTAGTATTTCGTTAGCCAATCAAAAAACGTAAATTTTTTACGGTTGCGTTTCTTGCAGTGCAAGATGCAAAACTCAAGTAACTGTCTGAAACTTTTGCCAGTCACAATAGATGCCGCAAATCCAATAATTCAATATTATAATAAAGTTCAGACAAAACGCGCACTCTGATTGGTTGAAAAAGCGTTCTTTATGAGTATAAAACACGGAGCTGTGGGTGTCACGCGACGTTTTGAAAATTAGAAAGTAATGCCTTGGGAATTTAGTGGATTCTTTATGATAAAACAAATAACGAAGCCTTGACTGTGCTCTGTTCTGTTGCAAAGCACTTAAGAAGCAGCTAGAGCACTCAAGAAGTAGGGAGAAACACTCGACTACGTCTCGTCTCGTGTTTCCCCCTACACTTCTTTCGGGCTCTAACCACTCTCTGCGTGCTTTACGATAGAAAAGAGCACAGTCAAGGCTTCTTTATTTGTTAAGTACAGGTAGCATAAGTTCCCCCTGTCCAAACGACTGTTGGCATTTAATGTGCGCCCAAGCTACAGTTACAAACTCTACAACAAATCACTTGCTGTGGAAGGGGTAAGACACTAACCTTGTCTCGATCAATCTTGTGCGAGAATGGACAAGACCCATCTAAATTTTTACAGCGCCCTCGCAGGAATCTACAAATGATCAAGAAATGTGATGAAATAAAAAGTTCACAATTTACACAAAAGTGGTAGACACTATAGTACACTGCTAGCCTACATAGCTGGGGGTTTTGTCGGAACTGTAAAAGAAAATTCACTTGCGGTCCTCTTCTTCCTTTTTTCTCTTCATTGGTGCCCCTACCTCCTTTACGAGAAGGTATCTGTGAAGGATAATTCTTTCGCTGTACATAAATGTTACTTCACCATTTCTACACAGGCTTGTGCCATGATGTGACAGCTGAGTTCAACCGTTTAGACACTACCCAGAGATTGTCAGAGGGTATTAATTAATGTTTCAATCCCCATAGGATAGTGACCCTGGTAGCAAAATGTAAAGCCCAGCGTAACAGAATTTATAGGGCAACTGAAAACATAGCCTGCGTAACCGGCGCTTGGAAGAAGTGGGTGAAAGAGAGAACGGGCACGTGCCGCCCAGGGAGACACGCGTGTCTTGTCTCCTTCTCGCGCGCCCGTTCTTTCTTGTGCCCAGTACTTCCGAGCGCCTGCTAACAGGCTACTGAAAACAACACAACTCAAACTTACTTTGTACATACTGCAACTTTTGAAGGATCATGAATGTATGGGCAAGTATCCTGCTTGTTACATTTTCCTGACATAAAAAAAGAAAGTTGTGATCTATTTTAAAAATAGTTTTTTTTTTACACAAAATCATCACCTAGCCAAGTTACATAACAAAAGCAAAAAGCAGTCACATGTATGTATGTTATTTTTACAGTTTCACCTCCATGTGTGACAGCTTCTTGTAAGCAACAATGGACGACAAGTGACTGCCTAAATACAGGGGCACTCAACGACGGTTTCATCCTAAATACATTGCAAATACTTTTTAGGCTATCCAGATCTCTAGAAACGTATTCTAAGCGGCGCTATAAAATTTTTATCTGTTTGGTCATCTGAGGGGAAGGTGAGTCTTTTCGAAATTACTCTCCGTAGGGATCGAAATTTAAAAAAATCCTTAGGTCACCTTTTGGCAACCAACTGGGGAAATATAGTCGCCAGTTTGTATAATGGCAATGATGCAGCCTGCTAGTATGGCGCAATCCATCAGATTTGCAACTACACTCTTTCTTTTTTTATAAGAATATATTTTATAAGAATATCGAGGCTGAAATTTGCGAAATTTTAAGAATATTTTAAGAATAAAGCCGAGGCTGAGTGAGATTTTGAAAAGGATAGATATAATTTTGTGTGTTGAAACATCTGTAAATACAATACAATTTTATGTTTTTAACTTAACCGTATAAACTTATTCCTTTCTCTAAACGGCGAAACTAGCCAACAAAACGAAAAAACCTGCACTAGCTATAGCAAAATGTTCAACGCTAATGACAGTTTGATGAACGGTACATGTAATACATATGTACGGTATTCAGCACAGATCTAGATACCAAACACTTGTAATTGATACCCCAATAAATTCTAAAACGGAAATGTCATAAGCTATAATTTAAGAATAATACAAGAATATTTTCAGCCTAAAATCGGCAGAAAAATAAGAATATTCAGCCTGGGCCGGAAAAACAATATTCTTATAAAAAAAAAGAGTGTATCATGGACAGAAGTCGGTATAATTTGGAGGTAAAGTGGCTATGTTTATGCGATTTGGCACATTTTTTAATGATGAAAGCAAAGCAAGATAAGAGGAAATGTTCGTTTTAATTTTACTCTTTTAATTTAAATCTAAATCATAGAGAAATCTGGTCGCCACTTCGGCGACTAAACCAGAATTTTTAGTCGCCAAGGAGAAAATGTTAGTCGCATTGGCAACCGTATCAGTCGCAATTTCGAGCCCTGCTCTGTCACATTCTTGCATCCACAAATTCTAGGTTTCCTTTTTTCTGCAAAAAATAGCCTAACTTGGTGTACAATTTCTTACAGTACAACCACCATATAACAAGCTCTATAGAACAAAAACAAACTTTTGTACGAAGAATGATATTGTTTTTTCTTTCCTGTTTGAGTAAAATGTATAAAACAGGATCTCACGAATACAAAATTTGTAAAATTTTGTAATTAAATGATATTTCTAGCCCCATTGCTAGAACTATCGATGTTCCAGAAATTGAATTATTCAAAGTGAATTAACATATTAACAAACACAATCTTACCAAATCTGTTGTAGAACATGCAATATTGCTCTGATGCTGGCTTCTTTTTGTTCTTATGAAAGAGCCTGGCATTGTGAATGCTGCGCCGTAACACACGACTGAAATTATTAATGCAAAAAAAGTCTCAGGTTAATAAATATTTATTGTATCCCTGTTTTTCCATGGCAACTTGTTGTTTTAACAGACTTATTATTAGACTTTTAACAGTCTCTACTTCAACAATTATTTTTTCCTTGCAAATAAAGTCTACTACTAGCTGTTTTAGTTATTTTCATAAGCCTTATTGGCTTCTAAGAGCTTCCTTGCCTCATCATGTTCAAATTTTCTACAATGATAATTTGATATACGGTAAAAATACTATATGTCAACAACCACATAACAATGCATACATCATAATATATCAAATGGCATCTATCACCAACACATAAAAATATATTGATTTTTAATTCTATTGTCTGACAACATCAATAAACATAATAGTGAGTACTGATAATATTTTTGGATTCAAGCATTATAATATTGTTATGCTAGCCTTAACAAATGGTAACAATCATCATCATCATCATCATCCACATCGTCGTCATCATCACCATCATCACTTTATTGAATAATAATAACAATAATAATAATAATAATAATAATAATAATAATAATAATAACAATGCACAATACCTAGCAAGGGTTTGGTTTTGAGAATTGCTGGCCTTAGCCTTGACTAATGTAGTCCGTGTACATAGAACAGTCATGCGACCATTACTCGATCGCCTTCTTCCTGTAAGAACTTGGTTCTGCTTTGAAATACTGAACCTTCTAGGTACTAAAAGGCGAAAAAATTTTAACAAAAGAGTACATTAATTTTTTTGTTGTGAACAAGAAAACTTTAAGACACACCTAATTACTTTGATAAAACACAAAAATGGAACTAATGTCTATTTGCTTGACATAAACTGCTAATCAAAAGGCAAGTACATGGAGAAGCTGAATTGAGAACAGCACTTTTATCAGAATTCCTTGTCACTAGGGAAAAGTCACTACTGTACCTTTGTTGACTCTGTGAAGTGTCTTCCCTTTAGAGTCCATCACAAACTTCTCACCTTGAATAGTGACAGTTTTTGACATCTTTCCTAAAATACAATGATTTTTGTTTTTCACACTATTTTTGCAACTGTTCACTATTGTTTTGTAACTTTCATCATTAAAATTGTGATCAATTTGGTTAATGTAACAAAACAGGAGGCAGGTCCATATATGAAATGTCAAATAAGAAAACTTGATCCTCAGTGCCAATGCGTCTGGGGTAAACTTTTCCTGATTGTTCCAACTACTAACCGTTGCATTTCTTGTAATACACATACAATCAAGGCAACAAGTCTTCTTATGCTTGCAGATAATTATAAATATGTAAAGATACTTGTAGTTACCTTATGTGTCATGGTGAAAATGAAATGTTTCACTCAAGGCTTATGTTTTTACTATTTGCATCACCAGGCCACTGTTGACAAAAACTTTCCTTAATGCCAACTGTATTTAATCTATGTCTAGATGAGTTATAAATCAAAAATCTTACTTGTTAGGACCTAGAACTGTACAAGTTATCTCCAGGACAAAAGTTACCCGCAAATTAACAATCACTAAAATTTTGTCAGCAAGTGCAACAATACAATATTACAAAAACTGACCCCTTTTTTGAGATTCCGGTGCACTTGTTTTCTTTCTCTGCTCAGCTGTGGTTGAAGATGCCTTTGTTTTTGTAAGTTTATTTGATGATGTCTTGTATGGCACACCTCCAATCACAACAACTTTGTTTAGCTTCTGTAGATAAACAACATAACCAGAAAAATCAGCCACATCATTTTGGAATGACTAACACAGTTACTGCAAATATTAATGCACAGGACTGGAAAAAAACAAGCAAGCAGTTCTCACATTTTGCTCGCCCAGGGCAACTTCTTGTTTGTCTTGGTTAATGATTTTGTTAGAGGATGACATGCCTGGACACTTGCTTATTAGGCAATAAAGCTTTTAAAATCATTTAGGTCCCAAGAGTGACCAACATCAATTTTCTCCTTACAACATCAGCAGATCATCAAGAGTAAAGGTCATGTGAGAATGACTAAATTGATTACCAAGGGGAGAATGCTTTGATCTTAAACCAAATTCTCTTGACTGCTCATAAAAGAAATGTATGGAGATCAGTCTGAAGAATTTGTATGTGGATCTTAGGGCTAAAAGGGTTAAAAGTATTATGCCCAGCAAGAAGATCTACTTGTGCGGGACTACTGGATGGGACTTTTTTCGAGCTCTGAATATAAGAACTCTGCACAATATTAAAAACATCATACAATAATATTATTGTTATAATAATCCAAGAGATGAAATTGGTGCTCAGATGCTCCTCATTACATATAGAGAACTTAAACAAAAGTATGCACTGTTAATTTTCTATGTTTAATGAAAGTTGCAAAACATAAGTTGGAATCTG